ATATTAATTATTGCATCGAAACTTACATATACCTGGTACATCAGGCATATTTGCATTATTTTCATTTCAAAATGCATGATTCGATGTATTTACATCTGCTCGAAGGGAGCTGTGTCATGTCTATGACTTTTTTGGGGGGGAACAGTGGAAGTCACAGTGGTTCATAAACTGAATCAGCAAACTTGATATATGAAGACATCATTCTGCCTTTTTATTGGAGAAATTGGTTAGTTAATTCATCTTGTAAAATACTTACCCATAAACATCATGATATCGTTGAATGCAAATGCTGACAATAACAAACTCGATGTGTACGATATGGAACTTACATAAATCATACCAAAATCAGATAAACATCTTGCGATCAGCTTTCCACCTATAAATACACCTGCATTGAACAAAAATATGAAAATGAATGAATGATGAAAACACTTAATTAAATAAATAAGTAGAAAAGCGCGAGAATAGAACAGTTAAAGCCCGGTGGTCGTCGCGCACCGCGTGTTCGAATTTCATGTAAACTAACAATGTATTTTACACGCGTTGTATACGTCGCTATGAGTCCCATATCTAATGGAACGTGGCGCGACGACCACCGCCCTTTAAATGTGAGATTTGTATCATTGAGGATATTGTGTGATGTTTAATTTTTATTAAAATATCAACATAATCCGTGTATAAGAGTGAATTCAATTTCTAACCATTACCCTCCAGCGATGAAGCGCTTCTGTGACGTCAACATGGCGCTCCTGTATGTAGGGTGTAAGTAATATGATACGTCACAGGAACCGCTAAATCGCTAGAGGGCGTGCATATAGGAAGGTATTGATATATTGATTACCTGGACCACGTAGAGCCACCCTAGCCGCACTGAAATAACCAATCATTACAGAAGACCAACAGAAGGGATAATCCATACAATAGAGCACGTACAGACCATTGCATGCACTCTGAGACAGAAGTTGGATGAATAATACTACAATAAGAATAACCACCTGTAGACGTAGTCCTGATCGTTTATTCTTGAACAAAAGTGCAATCTGTTTGAAGTGGTCAAACGTCAATAGATGTATTACTTGTATCTTCAACTTTCAAACTTTCTCTTACAAAAAACACGGACGTAGAAAAATGCAGCGGATGAAACGGAAATGTGTAGCCAAAGGCAGCCTGGTAGCCGTATATATGTATGGCATAACCAGCACAAAGTTGTGCTCCGCCGAATGCAAACGAAAATACCACCTCTAGTACAACCATTCTAAAAGTTCGTTGATGCTTGGTTGTGATGTCGGCGATGTATGAGCAGCACGTTGCAATCTCAGTTGTGTGTTCACCTCCAAGTCCCTGTAACGCCGCTCCAACGAAAAGAGTCCACAACGGTAAATGCAGGTATATGACGATAAGGTAATTCAGACCATTTAAGGCAGCGCCAACAGGCGGTAACATTAAAGGAATCTTTCTTCCAGCTTTATCACTATACGCACCGAGTATGGTTGCAACAAACATCGCTATGAATTGAGATGTTGCTGTGAGGTACAAAGTCCACATCGTCGCTTGTTTTTGTATTTGTTCTTGCATTATGTACTCCGGGGAACTTTTGTTGGCGTAACGTTCCGTTGGTGGTGTCCAACCCATTGACTTCGTATTCCTCCGCGATGCGTGATCGGATGTATTGTGGATATGAGGTTGTATAAACCCCCTTTCCAAACATAAACAACAATACAATCGGTTCTACCGTGATAATCGGCCATTTTCGAACAGGGCGTGATATCAGTGGCTCTGTCTCATCGTCTTCTGATGAATACATGACACTTGTGTAAATAAGCTGCGCTGCAAAAGTAAACATAATTCATTCTGTCATGGGGAGCATTTTGACTGTACTGGTTTGCGTATTCATAACAGCGTAGTATATAATCGTAGGGTCGGTTAGCCTTTGTGCAAATTACAGTGGATTTGGGGGAAAGGAAATTGAGAAAGCCAGTGGCTGGAATCGTGTGATACTCCTACACCACATGACCCCAAAATCTTAAACCCTCTCCAAATGTTAAGCAGGAAAATGTAGACTCATTCTCAATAATATTTGCATCAATATCCATATATGAATATTCATGTCAATCATGTTTTACTAAACAAATCAATGCTAATTTGTTTTAGGGTAATTAGGAAACACTCATTGTGACAAATTCCAAGGTACACAGAACGCTCTTGTTGCCATTATAAATCAGCTTCATCAGAAATATATTTTAATAATATCTTATTTAAATATAAATGTTAGAATTCAAATTAACCAATCTCGAAATGATATGGTGACATCATCGTCAGTTTTAGTTAACGTTAATGAGATAGTTCAACATTATCCAATCAGCAAGCGCCTTACTTTGAATATGTGGGTGGTTTCAGTTGCCATGTTACGTGAAGGCATGCGCGTATTATGGACGTAGACAATGATGATCGGCTTTAACATTTTTGTTATAAATACGTTTATAAGCACCGCTCTAGCAATGGGTATTTCACTGTCGTATGGGCTAGACAGTTCTTTCTTTCAAATTCCATTGATAGTTTTTTGAAAGCTAGAACCAAATTAGCACGAGATATATTTTCAAATGAGCATAAGTCAGAATCTACATAACAGATAGAATTACAAGACCAATAATAGTACAATGACTGCTTCTTTTAATAACTAATTAGCATGAAATGAGTAATTATTATTTCAACACACTTGGGGGAACTATTACACTTTCAGCAAAAGTATATAAATCGCAATGCTCTATATTATTTTTATTTTAAAACTAATAGAGACTGAAATATATCTAAATAAATTGAATCAAAAATTGAGAACAAATGTGTAAAAATAAATTGTTTTACATTCCTGTTCCCTCCACACTATGAGAAGAATATGTGAAAGGACTTAAAATCATATTAAGCTAAAATCTGTATTACTAGTACAAACTGTATTTTAACTTAACTCATTTCAAAACGAAATATTTTCTTACTTTAAATGAGCATAAGTTGATGGAATTAATGTGCCAAGTGCATTCAATATTTTTTACAATAATGAATTTTATCAGCGAGCTGTGTTCTTTGGTTTTGGCAAAAATAATTAAGATGATATTTTATTTCACAGAGAAAACGGTTTATTTCTATTTGACCAACTGTAAATGTACTACCATCAATACATATGCCTACCCTTTTGAATGCCTTAAAAAATGTGACTCACAACCAAACTTGCAAATGGAAATAAGTGCCCCCCCCCATCCCCGACACCGCCCACTAGTAATTAACGTCCAGTCTCTCTGACCCTGAACAATTTTTGAATGAAATATCAAAAGTATGATGATAACATACCAGAGAACAACAAGTTCGATTTGCAGAAATCCTCGCTTGCCCTCACTGAGTACGGAGGTCTCGTTAGTTCCGTGGCACTGCAGCTCAATACTACATACACGGTATTAACGCTTATTGCACCCGTCTTTAATGACACACTTACCTATAGCAGACAGGCCAGCACAGTGTGTTACATCTCAGGTGACGAATCCAGTTCTAGCGTGGCACCGGAAGTAAATAAATACCGAGTATATAGCTCACCTTTGGCCGGAAGGTCGTATGCTTTTCGCTGACCTACTTTTAACTATACGTACTTTGGAATACAAATATGGGACGATTGTTTTTTTATGACGAGAGTGTTTGTTTACGCTGCGATGTCATTTAACCTCTCACAACGAAAAACGTTGTGTGTCCATTATTTGCATTTGAGCTACATTAATATAATAATAGCGTTCTTGAATTCCGACAGTCGTCGTGCAGTATACGTCCAAATTTCATGTAAACAGAATAAGAATTTCACGCTACCTCGTTCACTTCACATAGGTCTCATATCGAACACGGGGCTATAAATGTGGCGTTTGAACAAATACGTATACGTGTGATTAGAGACGGCTATGGCAATTGTAATATTCGTTCTAATTTAAACTTAAACAACATGTACTCAGTCATTATATTTTGTTAAAAAATGTTAAAATGTACATTATATCGATTCCGTTCATGAACGTCTGTTTGTAGACAATTACTACGTTTATGTTGGGGTATCGCGGCACGTGCCGACATTTTCAATCCTTCAGTGCAGAGGGATTACAGCAGTTGCATTCACGTTAGTAGGATCCCATTCGACCCGTGCCGAAATCAGGCCCTCTTTCATCGATCTGTTCTTTGACCCAACCATATGCGTATGGTGGTCATAATAATCATTTCATTGAAATCATATCTAATTGCTGTTATGGGATTTATTATGAGTAAACGTGTACATGAAGGGCATAGGATAATTCATAGAATAGTTATTTTTTACTTCAATAGAGCATTGCAAGACGAAACCGGTTGCAGAAACTCCTAAATATGCGTCGCCGATCACGTTCTGCATTCATTTCTACAGCATTCGATCATAGATGTACTTCACGCCATTGACATGTGATACGAGTGAGAATCAGTATATGTAAAATTAAATAAATTCACGGAGGGCGTTATTTCGATTCGTGCCGGATGTTCGGGCGGCAAATCTCGATCCCGACCCTCTATCTGGACCGAGATCGGGTTTTTTTCCTTACGTGCACTCGATCTCCACTCTCGGCACGTGCCAAGATTTGTAACGTGACGTCACTAAGTTATATAAGATAAGTTTACGAACACAATTTTGACACTAATCCACGCTTAGTAATTAGGCACTTTGCATAATAATCTGTTCTAATATATGTGTTCCTTTTGTGGGTGTGTACATATGAATTGAATATTGCTGCGTGCTTGAGTGTAAAGTTCTAAAAACGTGGAGTGCATGGCTATAACCTAACTCATCGAAGCCGCAAAAGTCTGTGGAAAATTAGGTATGATGTATAGATCTCCAAACATAAAAAGCAATGCGAATGAAATCTGAATGAAATATTATAAGATCTTTCTTCCTGGATCTCTTTTGTTAAACAGTTCCCACTGCAGGATTGTAAACCACAACAATAGCAGTGAACAGACGGGTTAATGTTATTTAGAACGGATTCTAGCTTTATCAGCCTGTTCGTTTTTTTTTTTACTTACGAATACAACGGTGCACACATGACATATAACTACCAAGCACTAAACTACCACTTCCGATTGAAACATTACATTCAACGCAAAGCGTAAAATTGATGAAGATTCTTAACACTCGAGAGTCTTCTTTGTAATATTGCCAAGTTATGTTGAGTATTAGATAAATGAAGAAATAAAACATCTAATCAAACATTTTCTGATGAAATACTACATAATATAAATTGCACACTATGGATGTATTGTAAGTGGTTTAGCTAAAGTCGTAAAAGCCGCGTTAGTAAAGATGATTTACGAGGCTGTGTGTAGAGCAACGCATGATGCAAGGCAATGAAACTAACGAATACACAAAATGACTCAATGTGGCGGCATGTAACTTGTTGCCTGTGAAAAATAATATAACGCTTTTACTGGCGACGTTACCTTGCCCACCAAGGTAACGCATATTAATTTGCGCTTTGCCTCACGAGTTGCGTAGTGTAATCCGGTCATTATACGTGCTGAGAATTAGCGATTTAATTATTTGATTAAATTGCAAAGGACAGACGGGCGGACGGGGGTGATGTGCTTGACGTAGGTGGATAGATAGATGAAGGGATTCTTGTGTTTAAATTTAAAAAAGATTGAAAAAGCGTCAATCATAAATTATTTAAAAGATTAAATAAAAAATTTATAAAACAAATTGGTTGTCTTTGTATGTTGCCTGGTATTATATTATAATGAAAGTTATCAGGTAGACAACTAATCACCCATAGGGTATTACTACAGGGAGCAAAATCTACGTGTTACATGCTGTTTACCATTTGAAGCCCGCGGTGAACAGCTAGATTTGGATATACTTGTAAAGAAGTTGTGAATACATGCATAACGTGATGGAAAGTCCATGCAATTACTGGAACATAAATAATAATGGTACCGGGTAAACAGTCGATTAGCTAAAAGTGTGACATCCTAAAAACAAACGTTGAATACGACAACTAAAATGGTCATTTCCCTTTGTATGACTGAGTCTATGTTGAAATTAAACACGTTAGTCTGTACGTCATTAGTGGAGCCGTGTTAATTTGGGGACATTGGTTTTTTTATTACTAACACGTTTGTACGTCTACCACGCATATAATACTATTTGTGTGTGTTGTGCTTTATGTTGTATGTGTTGTATTGTGTTGTGATTTTCAGAGTTTGTTGATTGAAATAAATTTAAATTTAACCAACATTCTGAAAACAAAGAATACATATACAAATTGAAAATTGTATGTTACTTATTTATAATTGGTACTTATATTGGAAATTTGTTTATCCCTCCCAATTGTATTCATTCATTCATTCATTCATTCATCCATTCATTCATTCATTCATTCATTCATTCATTCATTCATTCATTCATTCATTCAAATCTGGCCGACTATCTCTGGTATTGAATTCTCAATTGATCACGCATACCCAGTCGCGATTACGGTTTTCTGTTTCTTTCAGATATTGTAATAAACCATTTTCAATCACCACAAAGCCATAGTATGCAATTTACAATACCTAATTTTTCATACGAACGTTTTATTCGATTGCATGTTTTATTACCTCATTTATCGTATACGCAGCAGAAATTGTATTATTACAAGAGAGATAGTCGGGCATGACGATTGTTCATTAGTTTTATGGGCTGGTTTCCGATTACCACATGCTAATCGTCTATCGTTAAAAGTATTTTTAAATCTGTGATCTGAACAAGGATGCTTGCTGTGTTGCGGGACGCTGTGGACTATTGTAATCGACTAAGTGAGTAAAATGTTGACACGTCAAGAGCCGATAAAAAATATATTTTTTTTATATTTCAGTTATTTTATTCAGCTTTAATGTTTAGCTGAATGATATGTTATCAATTACAGTGTTACGCTTGCTCCTATGCTGATTTTTTGTGATTTTAACCCCTACGGAGAGAGTTACTTTAAAATGGGAGCAAGGCAGACCGATCACGGTATACGCAAAGAGAAGCCTGCGCGCCGCACAGATCAACTTCTGATCGTCTGTTTCATTTTTACAACTAAACTTTGATTTAAACATGGTACCGATCGCCTTTCTTTTAATTCTGCTTCCTTGCAGTGTTTACACTAATAGTGTCCATGCAAATTTAGATGACATGCGAGAAGAATACCCATGGGAATTCGACCCCCCACCAAGACCAGCAATACCAGACTTGGAAAGCCCTGATAAAAAAATCTACGAAGATGATGATGATGATTTAACTGAAGACCGCAGAGATGTTCATAGTAAGTTGATTTACACATAGTTCGATAGTGCAATTCACCAGGCCACAATCACGATAGTATCACATATTTAACCCGTGTTCTATTTTATTAATTGAATCCAATATTATGTACACTTTAAATACACGAAGTGTTAAACACTCTGCCGAAGAACTAAAACAGAGATATTCACAAACAAACATTTCATGTAATTATAATCATCTATGTTTTGTAATTTAGGTATCTTTCTGCCATCTCGTTCCTTACGTTTCCTTCCGAGAGATATGCTCTGTCCTGATTAAAGAAATATGCCACATTTGCATAGACTGTTAAGTACATGCAACCAATGTACAAACATGACCGTATTCACAACCCATATAATATATACGATGCTGAAAAATTGAAAACATAGCCCTACCTCAAAATTGTTATTTACACCCTTCTCATGTACCGTATACCATAGACGCACTAGTACAATATATCAGTATTTAAACTAAATGTACACTTACCAAGTCAAAAAAAAACTTCTTCGTTAACTTTCTTCTATATTTTCTATTTTGAATGCAGGACGAGATTTAGCCTAGCACGTGTTGTAAACTTTGCATAAATAAATCTTTAATTTTTTTTATAGATATATATAAGTTGCGAGTAGCAACAACTGAAAACGACAACCCCACATATATTGTAATATCTGCATCTTTACTAATTTTGTTATTACCCTCTTCACCCAAAGGAAGATCTATGTATGACTATGGAGAGGTTCTTCACAAGTCCATTCTATTCTATGAGGCGCAGAGATCAGGACCACTTCCTGCGGATAATCGTGTATCCTGGAGAGGTGATTCAGCTCTTTACGACTGTGGATTGTACGGCGAAAATTTGACTGGAGGTTACTACGATGGTAAGGGTAAAACCGTTTAAATCGTGTTTATATTAAATTTATCATAACAATTTATAAGTCGCATATGTTAACGTGTTTGAAGTAGTTTATTCTGTATTTTGAAATACTCGACACTATGGCAAATTATAAATATTAAAACGTCGCCCTGAAATTGCATTCTTAACATTATTAAATATTATTAATATTTAGCAATTTAAAATTTTCAAAGTGTATATAACAGTTCTTTTGGGATTTAATCAATATAAGACAACATAAAATTACACTCCCAGTCTAGATAAGCTACATATTTTCCACATGTAGACAAGCATAACAATAACACATTGAAGAGATGTCTGTGACTAATGATAAATTCGTTCCAAAAGGGATGTCATTTATATTTATAACCTACATCATTTTTTAGCTTGGTTGGTATTTTTTTTTAGTAAAATGGATATCGCCGAGGAATGAATTAGTATAGCTTTAAAAAGTGGTTCTAGCGCTTACCGGTGAATGTGTGAATTTGTGCATTTTCAGGCTTAGATAAAAACTTATTTGGATGATCTTTTTTTTTTTTTTTTTTTTTTTGCACAGCCGGTGATCATGTTAAGTTTGGTTTTCCAATGGCGTACACAACCACAGTTTTGACATGGGGATTACTGCGTTACAAAGATGCATATGAAGCCGCTGGCGAGCTGGATAACATGTACAGCACAATCAAATGGGCCACTGATTATTTTATAAAAGCTCATCCTTCTCCAAATGAACTGTACATGCAGGTAAATCCAGTTGGAACCAACGGTACTGGTGCATACATGAACACTGTATTCCAGTTCACAGGGAATACAATTCACTCGAAATGTTATTAGTTCAATATATTGCTCTAAATATAAGTTAGTCACTTTGTACTTCTATGTATATCATAATAGGATTGGATTTGGTAGAGGTTGTCTTATTTACCCTTTACATTATTAATGTATTTAGGTCGGAGACGGAGCCATCGATCACTCATACTGGATCCGACCCGAGGACATGGAAATGCCACGCCCGCCTTCCATCGTCAACCCTTCAAACCCTGGTTCAGATGTTGCTGGCGAGACAGCGGCTGCATTGGCGGCTGCATCTATGGTATTCCAGGGAGTAGGTACTAAAAATATTTAATGATATTTATACAATAAAACCAATTACGTAGTATATATTTCGTAAAGGTTAATCTGTGCAGCATTGGTATATCGTCTTTGATGTATGTTTAGCAATATGTATGTATGATTCTCGGGTGTTTCTTCTCTACAGATGATGCTTATTCAACAGAGTTACTGACACATGCTACCGATCTTTATAAGTTGGCTAACAATTATCGTGGTATATACTCATCCGAATACTATACGTAAGTACCGAGTGTACTTTCCTTGACAATTTCAAGAATTGTTATTAATATCAATGAGAACAGTGAGGAAGTTTCTTCGGTATCTGCACGTTTTTTTGTCAATATGGGAATCCTGAATGTTGAATCCTGAAATACTAGGTGCCAAAATAACACGCAATAATGAAATTATCTATCAACAATTGCGTGACCATGTTTTTGCAAATAAAATATTTGTTCATCTGTGGATTATTTACATCAAGTGATGTTCAGCGGAATCAAATACTCCCAATCCTTCTTAAAGTGTATTTTATTTGCTTGAATGCGTGAGTGTTGCCTAATAAATTGCCTGTAGTCAAGCCCTGTCAAACTAAGCTATAACACTGTTTCGGGGCATTTCATATTATTAATAGTTGTCACCTATTTTTTACACTTCACACAGCTCGAAGAGTTATGGGGATGAACTGGCCTGGGCTGCAGCCTGGATATTTTATGCTACTGGGGATCTCGCGTGGAAAGCAGAAGCCGAGAGCATGCATACAACATACATCGATTCAGAGGGGGTCCCATGGTCATTTTCCTGGGGAACAAAGAATGCCGGCGTCAATGTGAGTTATACAGAACATATTTTTGTATACATATTGTGTTGGTATTAGGTTACATGGACAATACAGTTTATTGAAACGCATAGTATTACAAATTACGTGCTATTGTTGTCCAGGTCCATAATTTATCTACGCCAGTTTACATCAAGACTTGTTAACATGTTAATTCCTAATTTGAAACACCTCCGTCACTGTTTAATGTGTGGTTTCTTGGTGAATATTCTGGTATTGAAGAGTCTAACCAACATCGGAGTTCCTATAAATTGATAACGTCTGGGAACGTAATATTACAGCTCTACAAACGCGCACCTGTTTTATTCTGTGTATATCCGGCGTAATTTAAAGTGAAACAATTGATACATCCCATTTTACTTATATGTGAGACAGCTTCATTTACGACATGAATTAATTTCAGTACAAATAATAGTGTAGACCATTATTATAATTGAGTAGTCAATGTGGATGATAATCTTTTAAAATTTGTAGAAAGAGAGACAATCTTTACAATCGGCGTGTATAAAGAGTAAAACACGCACACTATTTCTAAGTGAAATTATTGTACAAGATTTACACGAAACCATAATATTGATAACATTTAATATTTACACCGATAAGTCACATGTGTTATTAGCACAATTGCCATTAAGAATGTTAAAAGTTCTGTTATATCAATTAATTCTATCATGAATCATGGTAATTGCAACGGCATTATTTCAGTATTTGGTGTCATTAATTCAAATTTGATCATATTCCATTGACAGCTGCTCATGTTCGAAATTACTCGAAATTCTACCTATGCCAAGAAGTTGAAAAAATTCCTCAATGGTTGGTTACCAGAGAATGACTTCCCGCACACTCCTTTAGGTCTTGCTTTCCGTAGCGACTGGGGTCCGTTGCGATTCGCAGGTAATACTCGGATTTACATCTCTGTTTCAAAGTGCCGACTCCTGGCAAATTACGTACCATTCCTTGGCACGAGGCTTTAATCTTATACTCGAAAACGTTGTTGATTAATTAATTATCACACATTTTTCCATTTAAAAATAAAACCTTAATTAACATTTTTTTACTCCTGGACATGAAAATTGTATAACTCTTATCGTAGTATCTTGTCGCACAGCCTGAATTTTGTCACAGACTATCAGGATTATGATTTCTCATCTACATCACAAATGTCACCAGGAAACAAAACACGTGATCAATAATCAATATTACAATTATTTGCATTCAGTAGAGGAAACTATGGATTCGTGTATAACGTCTTGGTTGTGTTAGTTTAAACACTTTACGTGAAATGTGTTCTCTCACAATTTTCATATGGAAGAAAATATTGTTATAGATAGTTTAGTGAAAAAAACACAATATGTGTATTTTATGGTACATGTTTCCCCAAAGTTATGCCAATTAATAAATTACCAATACTACCCAAGTGTCACGTAAACATTTTCCATAAAGTTCTGCATTGGTTAATCAATGTTTTCAATGTAAACTAATCTGACATTCTACAATAGTTTTTTTTGATATCAAGTAGTTGGTATCAGTTATTAAAGATGCATATTTTATATTTCAGCGGCCACTGCCATGTTATCTCTGTTCGCAGCTGACAGCGGCATACGAGCTATCAGATACAAGGACTGGGGAAAGCAACAAATAGACTACATGCTTGGCGACAGTGGTAGAAGTTTTGTTGTCGGGTTTGGAGTTAACCCTCCCCAATCCCCCCACCACAGGGCAAGGTAATGAACAGATTTTGTAGATGTGAAGCCTAAACTACACCACTACTCTCTTTTCTAAAATACATTTGCATAGTAGAAATAACGTCATCCCATTGACAACCAAATTCACGGGGAATTTACACAGTCGAGTACAAGTTATGGTAATTGCATGCAACCAAGAAGTGAAATCGGGAGATTAAAAAAATGAGTATATCCTACTGCACGTGTGGCACCATCGTCTTCATCGAAACTTAGACAAAATCGCTTTTAGAACTTTGGCAAAGTTGAATTGATAGACTAGGCTATGAGACTGTCAAAACAATAGTTTGTAAGATCTGACACATTATCGTATGTTGACTGTTGTTTCATCAGTTCATGTACGGAGGTAAAGTGTGGGAGTGTTGCTCTCAACTCAGCCGATGTGAACCCTAATGTGCTGCAAGGAGCGCTGGTTGGTGGGCCTGACATTCAAGATAACTACATTGATAACAGAAAAGATTATGTTAAGAATGAAGTAGCGTGTGATTACAACGCCGCTTTTCAATCAGCCGTAGCAGGTACGTTATCACAATATTATTGACGAAACATGGGTAGTAGTCGTTAGGAATTTAGAATTAAAAGTATCCGTTTATTAGGATATGTATTTGGGTAAATACCGTTCAAAACCAAGGCATTTTAGTTCTGGATTAATTATCCTGCTTTGCATATTCGTATTTATGCATGGTGTATCAATACTTATTTAAAGGGCGGTGCCCGTTCTGATCGATTTTGGACTCATAGCAGCGTATACAACGCGTGCGAAATACACTGTTTGTTTACATGAAAATAGAACGCGCATTGCGCGATGACCGCCACCCTACAAATATTAAAGCGCGGTGGTCGTCGCGCAGCGCGTGTTCGAATTTCATGTAAATAAACAATGCATTTTACACGCGTTGTTTACGTCGCTATGAGTCTCATATCGAACAGGACGCGGCGCGACGACTGCCGCCTTTAACATTTATATCATCTTGCTTGTTATTCCATTTCAGCTCTGTTGCACATGGAACTACCGGTGGTGTAACACGTATTGGGACCCATTCCAAATACTACATAAATGATCACATCGAGGTGTCATAATATAATTTTAAAGTAAATTAAAAATAAACGACTTATAGTCTAGATTAGTGATGCACGTCTTTGACTCTGTTCAGTATTTACTCACGTAGAACAGAAAACGAATACGATCACAATATTTGCATTTCCTGTATGGTCATGAACATTGTAAGAGGTAACAAATGAAGATTGTTTTATCGCCCCCAGGAAGCATGGTCCTGTCATCCATATCAATATTTTGCTACGTGAGACCATCGATGGTTTAAATACACATTTGGTGGTATAACCACAAATGACAGTAATGGATTCGACAGATTCTAAGGCATGCTCTGAACATGTTTATTTAAGTGCGCCCTCTACCGACGCACAAATCCAGGTTCGTTTCCAAAGGAAATGAAGCTAATATCGCTATTATCAGCAAATATCGCCCTTCAGCCCGCAAAAAAACGACAAACCCAGCCCACGTCAATAGGAGCGGGCCCCTTACCGAATTTCTGGATCCGCCAGTGTTATTAGGCTTTTCGGGTGTCATGTAGGTCTGGGCGATTTATTTCTTTTTAAATTTGAAATTAAATAAAAAAAATAGCGAAATGGAGGTGTTAACGCGAAATCCCCTGTAACCGCAAAATCACCCAGACTGGACGTTTTTGCCGCGCCCTCTGTGGTGAAAGCAGGAACTAGTGTGTTTTCAAACTAGTTTTATGTTAGTGAGCAGAATGACAGGCAAGAACGTTATCCAATCAAAGTAATTTGACCTTTAAACTATATCTAGTTAACCTTTGTACCTGAAGACTTCACTTTTCTTCAAGTTTCTCGATCGTCAATCATAACAAACGAATTACTATTTATAACGTTCCGTACAAATTATTCTAATGGAGAGAAGTAGCATGCGTGTAGCTTTATCTCGCCTGGGGTTACAGTGAAGCGCGATCTGCACAGAAGACCCATAATGTTTACCTCATTATGCAGCGCGCACGCCCCCCCCCCACTCCTTTTCTGTATCCGATCAGTGATGTCACTGCATATTATGAATAAATAATAGCAACAGATTTGCTGCAAATGAGACCAGTCTGTGGTGGTTTCGCGTTCACCCCACCTTTCCCAAAACTATTTTTCCAATTGTTTTACAGCTAGGCCAGTCTAGGTGTCATGCTCACAACATACTTTTAGAGGGTCTATGGTACTCACTCACACAATGAACACTAGCTTACTCACTAGTCGTAGTGACCGTTGCTGGGTTTTTTTACTAAATATGTTACCGGACATTGAAGTTGATGACAAGAAAAGCTGCTTATACTGGTCTGCTTGATATAACATTTCATTGAAGACCAAGTTCAATTACAATAGTTATGCCTACCTAAATATATTTTGAGTTGACTAAACGTGTTTGGATTGAAGTTGGCGATACACGCAGCTATGGGTCTCCGTTAACGGGAGATAGATAGATCACAGTCATTACCTCGTTAAATACGATCGGTCACGTTTACAGGCTTGAAAAAAATCACCCAGGCGATCGGTATCATAACCCTTGACACGGTCATCTTGAAAGGAAAGTCCGCACATGCACACTACTGACAACCCAACAGAGACGTCATCTCAAACAAATACGCATGCCCAGTAAACTTATTATTGTGATCTATCGATTCCCTTGTTATTAATTTCCATTTGTAGCTAAATTTAACGGATTTAAACATTTTGAATTGATAACATGTGGACAGTTTCCGAGTTGGTGTAAGAAAGAAATGGACGAAGCTTTCCTACCTTGTTTATATTTAATATATGCGTTCTTTTACTAAAGTGTTTAAATTACACATACAGACAACTGATTAAGAAACCTGTGGTTGTCAGCCGGTGAAAATGCCCAGACGTCCGCCCCTGAGAATAGGGATTTCAACGTGAATATGACAGTAACAAGGTACATTTACACACAAACATAGTACAATGTGTACAGTGTACAGAAGGGGTGTAAACGAAAAACAATGTCCAAAAGAATGATATATGTACGTCAAGGGCCTGACCAAGACCTGATATGAGGTGATTGCAAAAAAAAATATCCGAAGTATTTTGAAACATTATTTCATATCACCTGAATGTTATGTTTTCGTAAGGAAACCTTTGATTCACTTATAGATGATTGAGCAAGTATTTATTGGTCATTTTTTAAACTTACAATCGGTTGACGTTTTCTCAAAATACATTAACACAACTCTATAAGATGCCCCCTCCCCTCAAGAACTGACTCAACTCTATGCGCAGTTTATAAGAGACCTGATAATATCTGCTTCGCCGATTTTTCCACATTGTTCACATTTTGAAGCTCCAAGGTTGTTGGAACCTGGATATATTTTTTTTAAGAGAGCCTGATGTTACTCATTTGTTTTATTTTGCTGGTGAAGAGACTTATCTGTTTATGCAGTTGTCAAAAACACCAGAATTTGTAAATTTAAGGTTTTTGTTAAAGGGATTGACAATACAGAAAGTTACATTGCCAAGAAGAAATGGGAAGTTACACTAACCAAACCATTGAAGACTTCTTATTTCTGTCCATGGTATAAGATGACTCAATAAAGTGTTTAAACTGCAAAAGACGTTTCATTTAAAAACTTGACTTAGCAGCATGGAAGACAGTGATCATCAGGAGTCATATTGAAATACTGTAACAGTACAGTAACCAGGTTAATATTACACACACAGAAAGGATTGTTTGAAAAATTAATATCTATTTCGTCAACTATAAAGGTTCTTTTCTAAAACAATCCAAAGACGCACGCACATTTGATCTGTCGGGTCATCCCCAATGTTTAAACTACTTTTACGTCATGGCAAGTATGGTTAAAGAGGGATTTTCACAGTTGTTAGCAACTTATGTCACGAAGCTCAATGTCATGTTGTTTTCATTCTAGCAGCCTACACGTCTTTGCAGTGTTCAAGCTCCGTACTCAGTTAGGGTCATTGCTCGTGTTTTTCCAGGTTGACTCTCACCTTTCACCTGCTAAACATGGAAGGTCGCTCTCGGCCACCCACAAAAACTAGTGGTTCGGTAACTCGCTACAATGCAACCGTCTCGTCATGTTCACCTGGTAATGTTGTGACCCAAATGCCAGTCATTCCCCCGAGCAAAGTAAATGACCAGAAATTAGGCACATCTTTCTGAACACACCATCATACATGCAGCCCGCTAATGGAGCTATCATTGTTCAAACACATATACTGTGGATGGATTCATCCCACAACTACCAGTATATCGACAGAATCGATTAAGTGAATCTAGAACTGAAGGATAATTCTAAGTGGCACTGTCCATTTAAGGAACCGACTGAATAAGAGATATAACCGATATCTGAGACACCTATAACCAGATAACTACATCTGTATTCGACTTTTTATAATCACTCACAAGAACAACTAGTACGATGCCCATATTTAACCCTAAAACCATTACTTCAAATTTAACAATCTTCTCTATCAAACACCATTTTTACACAGAATTATTTGTTCATGATTATAAATTATGGAGTTCGATGCTGCAACTATGTCCAAGACAAAGCTACCTAATTTCAAGTTGAGTCGAAGCGTATATACAAGGCAGAATAATATTAATTCAGAATTTTAGTTACACCAAATATGCCTAGGTTACTTGTATCCCAGTTATCATTTTATTGTGGTCATAAACAGGAATTGCCGCACACCAGCTCAAAGAATGAACACGGTACGGATATGTCAAAGTATGGGAATTTATTGATATATTTTTTACCTTGTTTACAATGAAAATTCTTATGATTTTGCCCCTGTTTGTATTTGAATAAATGTGAAGACACACACTTACGTTTTTTCTTTGTACAATTTTTTTTTAAAACATGTTGTTTCGGGCGGATGGATACACACATAGAAATAAAGCATCAATCCTAGGTTTGCACTGTGTCCGACAAGGTATAAATTCTTTGTCCGTTTTATATCATGAATTCATTTCAAACTGGAAGGCAAGAAATGGTTATATTACTAGATCCACTGTTGATCTTATAATAAGGTAATTATTTTATTCAGATTGTTTTTATTCCAAACATTGCATTTTGGTTCCTTGGTGCAAGGTCTAGATCCGGCATCATCACCAGATAGAACCCTTTGCCAGTAAATCTCGATCTTAGGATTGATTTACAAGCAGACTATATGAAAATAAATACGGAAAACAAACATTAAACAGGGGGTTAAAGCCATGACACTCAGCTTGAATAATCATAAGGGTGTGCGTTGTACGCTCACTGAACTCCTGATACCACTACTCAAATGACAACATTCCATGGCGGACTTCCAATATTAAAGTAATAATATTTTCGACTTGATGTGACAGTTGATGTGTATGGACTCAATCAATCCAAATAATATTTTCTTTAGATGCCTTTATTTGCTATTACATTCATCACTTTATCGCTAATTAGATTTTACAATTTATTCAATTTATTATATTATCTTCAATTCTTAAATTTTCCGACTTGATCCTTTGAACATCTTGTCTGTGCGTTAACCTGAAAATGAAATATCTCATACTTATCATATAATTATCCCATAATATGTGAACAATGTACTACCATGGTTATCTTTTCTTTTGTGCATGTTGTGAAATCACGACATTTATGACACACTTTTTTGTCATTTAAAGTTCACATTATTTTGCCGTTGCTAAAAGGCGCGATTAAAAGATGAATCATATCCACGCACATAACAATAATATATTCACTTTGATGCAGCTGTAATCAAACTCACCCTGTTAGCATCATGTTGATAACGGCAATGGCAGCCAACACTAGAAAAACGAACCCACTGAAGAAATCCAATGTCGCTGCATAAATAGCGTTAAATGTAACATGCCCTAGGAAACCGGCAATACTTTCTGTACATCCAACGCAAGAAAATAAAACACCTGAAAACAGAATTAATTTTAACTTAAGAGCGGAAGACTGTTAAGACCCATAAGTTAAACTTGCATGCATGGTTTCGCAATTTTCGAACCATATGAATAATGCGTTGATTCAGCCAATCATACTATAGGATGTAATGACTAGTTTATATGATATGTTGAACAGTTGAAAACTACATTGGGAAGACGAGTAACGAGGACTTGGATAAATTAGGAGTTAGCATATGTTAACAGACTGGCGAAATGTGTCGGTACTTATATTTATCATATGACATTGGGCTAGAATTAATAAAAGTGCTTCACTTGTTGCAGAAAATGTTAGTGCGTAACCGAAAATCATTATTTGCTTTTAAAAGAAGTGTTTTGAATCTGACAAGCGAGTTAGCAGAATTAGTAAGAAGTCTAAAAAAATGTGGTTGCGAACAGCCTGTTCTGAATGCGTACTTTTTCGTTGAAAGTGTACTATATTGTAAAACTCAAAGAGCGACTGACTATATTCGCACTGCAATACTAAGCTTAATCATTGGTTCGTTGTGTTATTCATTCTGTCTACATTGTTCCCTTTTTAACATAGTTGTAAATATGATAATAGTTAAAAACTACATATACTTGGAATCTCCTGAAGAACTGAAAAAGTGAGTTGTTTTTATTTCCTAACGTTGATTGATTCAAGCTTTATCCAAATAAATGTTACCTTGTTCATTGGGTTCCACTATCATGGAAAGCCTTGAACGCATCACAGGAAGAGCTAGTATTGACAAAGAAGCCACAAAAGGAACTGTCAAGAAAATGTCAATATTGTAACATCATTTTCTGAGAATACATAATTGATACCATCACATTGAACTTTATTCAAGAATAAACGATCTTTTCTGCATTATTATTATTATTGTAAATATGCAATTGCTTTTAAATGGTCCATTGTATATCCGTACTATTTATTATGTAATGTAATGACAATGTAAAACAATAAGAAGTGTAACTATTTTACGTGTAGAACCAGTGAATCAAACCCATCAATTTTACAAAATTATCTCAAAGTTAACCTCTGGTGACCTTGCCCTTTGTTACATAATATTATTTCATTTATCGTTTTTTTCAATATGAATATGCATTGTCATAATTAATTTTGAATACAAAGAAATATTAGGGTCGAAACAGCAGTAACAAATCAGTTTACCAAAAGTCCTGGATTGATGTAATTATCTTACAAACACATTGGTGCCTAATTTGAACTGATGAAATAGTAAATATACTCTTCAGTCTGAACTGTGTCTACACTATTAAATACTGTCACACATGTCATCAAATTTATTCCATTTACCACCTCGAGCTTTGATACATGCATAGTAATGAGATGATGTTGATTGATGAACTAAGACTGTATATAGGTCAAATATTGTGTTACTACAAAGATTACAACTCACATATTTTACATATTCCATGAGAAAACAACTGATGTTTTAGTTTTGGGGAACAATTTGAGAACGCTTTAACTGAATAACAAAGTATGCTGACAATATTTGAATAGTTTCTTTCTGTACAATATCATGAATAAGATTGTAATCATCACATGCATAATTATATATTAAATCTTCACAGAAATAATCATCCAGAAGTTTGATGTCTTTGAAGTGTGTTTCAAATTGCTAGTAGTATTATAAAAGCTCTATAATTGTGTTCTAATAGCTGAGACAAAGCTTTGTGAGTTTGTATTTGCAAAGATTATTTACCCTGACAAGGAAATGTTTCGTTAAAACAACCATTCCATTGCCATGTGAACTGTATGTCAAATACAGAATACATATTTTTGAGTGCATTTTTTCTTTCCAAATGTTGATGCAACATTTTTCCTGTTATATATTTTTATTTTGATAATTTTGAAATAAACAGACCTAATTTTCTACTGACTTCAAATTTTTATCAAACGTTTGGTATTGGAAGGTTTATAAGGAGTGCTTATATCGATTGTCTGATATAATGTTTTCTGTTAAGATAGTTTGTGTATTTTATTGGTGTGTTTGCAAATGTGTATTAGACTTTGCAACAATTCTCTCCATGAGTTGACATTGAAACCCAATCTAGTATTCCCATGGGATTCGGGGGATACATATTATTACAAGATAAATGATTTACTTCATTTAACTTACACATCAATGCATATTCCCACTGGGACCTTCTAATGTGTATCACTAGTAATCAGTAAAGTAAAAACAGTCAACATTTTTGTTTTACTACTACTTTCTCAATTTGTTTGGATGATCTGTCGTTTGAACTAAGGGACGATTTTATACTGATGAATTAGGTTACCAAGTTTGATACAGTTTGTAATATAATTAGTAACGTCATTGTTGATACATTAACAATTATTAATAATAACAACGAGAACAACAACGACAACAGACAATTTTCCCTTAATACACCTTTCCCTTTCATCTTCGATGATACGGGCAAGGTAAAAATGATTGATTTGTGTACTTTTAGTAAACAGCACCGCCACAGTATTGGAAGTCCAAATTAACTACAATGACATCGGGAATATTATAAAAAAATTGCTCCTATTATTGAAACCGCTCCAGTTAATGTGGACATTGACCAAATTCCCAACCTCAAAACCGTCAATATTAGCAAATCCTTGACTGATAAATCCCATAGTTAATGACGGAAGTAGTGACACTAAAAACGGTGTTAAGCATTGACAGGAGAAAAAATCCTAGACAATTCCCGGTGAAGTCAACCCCCCCTCCTCTCAGCTGCATTTAGAAAAAACTATATCGACAAATGCAATATTATTATTCGCGGTATTAAATATGATGCCGATATCACGGCCAGATTTAGTGATATTTCAAACACTAGGTAAAGATAATCTCGATTGATAATATGCTGTTTACTAGCATACAATTATCGAAACCACGTGGTGAACTACCTGACCCACAGGACAGAATATACATTTTATAAACAGAGGAAAACTACTAAAAGACACAGATATTATCCATGAACATTTAGTAATGTTAGTTTTTAAAGTGACAATATTTTATTTAATCTTTATTTCAACTGTATAACCTTGGGAATTAATATGTAAATGATTTTGAATCCTTGTCAAATTACAATGTGCAGCAAAGATTCTGACACAAGCTTTTTGAGATTGACAGGATCATTATGATGTATTCTCCCCTTTTGTTGTATTATATTGTGTTTCTGTATCCATATTTAACATACAAAATATCTAATTATGGAATGAAGCTGTATTTTTAATTAGTTGGTTGACAGGTACCCTCATATAGTGTTGCCTTGAATATTTTCAACCTGTGTAATATTACAGATTTACAGTTAAAGCTGTAAGGTAAACATATTCAAATTGCTTTGATTAGTTAATATGCGTTTATTAAGACGGTGTGATGATTCTAATGTGTTTACAAAAAAAACAATGAGAGGAAAAATATTTAAACATTGCCGCTTTAGTAATACATTTCAATGTTGAAAAAACTCACCCATAAACATCATGGAGTCGTTGACTGCAAAGGCAGACAATAATAAACTCGACGCGAATGAGATAAAGCTTACGTACATCATTCCAAAATCAGAGAGACATTTTGACAACAACTTAGCACCTAGTAACATACCTGCGTTGTAATAAAACAAAATCGGATCTCAGATGAATGAATGAATGAATGAATGAATGAATGAATGAATGAATGAATGAATGAATACCTGCACTGTGTAGAACATTCATAGCTGCACTAAAGTAGCCTATCATTACAGAAGACCAACGAAACGGGTAGTCCATACAATAGAGAACGTACAGGCCAACGCATCCATTCTGGGTCAGGATTTGGAAGAATATTATTGCTAGAAGAATAACCACTTGTTGACGTAAACCAGATCGTTCCTTCTTCAATAAAAGTGCGACGCCTTTGATGTTGTCAAACGTTAAGATGGAAGTATTGCTCATGTTCTGATGAACTTCCACACTTTCTTGAACAAAGAATACTGCATAGAAAATAGCAGCGGATAAGACGAAGAACTGTAGCCAGAAGGCAGCATGGTAGCCGTATAACTGTATGACATAACCTGCACAGAGCTGTGCCGCACCGATTGCTAAGTAAATGACCACCTCCATTATAACCATTCTAAGTGTTCTTTGTTGTTTCGTTGTGATGTCGGCGATGTATGAACAGCAAGCCGATATCTCGGTTGTGAAATCACCTCCAAGTCCTTGTAACAGCGCGCCGAAAAAGAGCGTCCATATAGGAAGATGCAGATATATGACGATAAGGTAATTCAGGCTATTTAAAGCAGCGCCAACAGGCGGTAACATTAAAGGAATCTTTCTTCCAGCTTTATCACTATACGCACCGAGTATGGTTGCGACAAACATACCTATGAATTGAGTTGTTGCTGTGAGATACAAAGTCCATATCGTCGCTTGTTTTTGTATTTCATTTTCCTTGTTGTACTCCAGAGAGCTGTTGTTGGTGTAACAGGTTCCGTTGGTGTTGTATTCCTCCGCGGTTCGTGATCGGATGTATTGTGGACGTGCTATTGCCAAAAACCCCATTCCAAACATGAACAACAGCGCAATTGGTTCTACTGTGACAATCGGCCATTTTCGAACGTGTGATCTCAGTGGTTGTGTCTGATCGTCATCGTCGTCGTCTAAGAAATTCATGACACTTGTATAAACAACTGCGCTGCAAAATTGAAAGTAGTAAATTCATATAGTATATAATATTTAGCTAGCTAATAAATAGCTATTTAAAATAGATAGACCTTTTTCGCTGCAACAGTAATCATAATTAGTTCTGTCGGAATTTAAAATTTGGGTTTTGAGAGATGAAAAGAAAAAGACGGAAAAGTAGGTAGTAATGGCCCATGATATATTTTCACTGGAAACATAACCTGGACACAATCTCCCAAAATGTATTAGTATTGGCCTGAGAGACCAATTACACCTTTAGGATAGATTTATGGCAGTATTTTTTAGGGTCTAACAATATCTAAGGGCGGTCATTTTAGCTCTATTTATAGTTATTTATTCTTCTTAGTTATTTATTCTGACATATATAGGGTTTTAGTTTTGATGGAATAAATTATCACCCTGGTCTATATTTTTTCCGGCAGGTTATCCGGCAATAAATATACAACAATGTAATGCAATGTCCTCTTAAATTTCATACAACAATCACCTGTACATCACTGGATACTTATTTTGACAAGATGTGAGAAACAGAATCTCCCGATTTATCAAAACTGTGCTGGCTGGCTAGCGTAGATTTTACATTGATTGTCGTTGCTTATTAGACTGACACATCGGTAACGGTTTGATGCATTTTCGCATTCAAACATTTATAAAACTATCATGATTTATATTTCAGTCAGTTTGACAGTGGTTGTCCATGACATATACTGATAAAGGTTAATGACAAGACCAGATGGCGAGCTGGTCGAAATCAACCAAAAACATCTTATGACTCTGCAGTTTTTAAGATACAAGACAGTAGCTGTAATTCTAAACCAATGTTGTTTGCGATTTTAAACTAAGGTAGTATCTTGGTGGAATGTTAGTGCGAGATTATTACCCCATCAATATTAGTTAGGTTGACAATGTATAGAAATGTTTTCTCTAGATAGCTTGACGAGTAATTAATTGATTATGATGTGTAAAACTTTCATGTGATTGGTTGTTTGTTGGAAGGCAAGGCCTTGGAGTCTCTTATACTGATTGTAATTGGTTAAGGGGTGACAAGAAATAAAGATGGATTTAATGCTGTCTCGGGTGAAAACCAGGGACTTGGCAGAGAATCGTTTTGGGAACATGAACGAAGCTTGTGTGTGTCTTTTGTTAGCCTAGCGTGGAAACGACCGAATCCCGGTTACCTAAGTGAAAGGTTTTTAACCATCAAAAAGACCTATCACAAAACAATAAAATCGACAAATCTTTATATTGACTATTTTCTGAAAATGAGAAACAAATATTCTCTGACATGAATCCTCAAAAGCTGTTATGAATTATGTTCTTTAAAAAGTCCAATAAACAACAACCCAGGCGATTATAATATAATGGATCATATCATGAATCTAATTCGTTACATATTATGTATTTGAAAAATGGTTAATTTGATAATTGTTTTTGCTAAATTAAGAGCAATGCATAATTTGTATTTTGTATGTATTCGTTCAATACTTTGGTGAAGGTAATGGTTGCGTGATATAAATATCATTACAAAACTGTCTCGAGTGGAGTCGTTGTTCCAAGGTATTTTAGAACATGTCGCACTCTTACGCTCAAATCAGAATCCAAATTTAGTCAAATGCACAACAATAGTTTAATCCTGCTTTTTTGACGTCTCATCTAAATCGACACTGACTAGAATCTAGAAAAAATTGCATTGACGACAGGTACTGTACATGAGTACTAGCAACGTTCTGTTTACTCCTGGAGTTGTATAATACTGATAACACGCCTGCAAGAAATCATGATCCGTTTCTCTCATACGAACAGTCTGTTGATTTGTTAGTGGAGTAGCAAGCTGATATTTGGATTGAAGTTTCCTTTATGAACATAATCAGGGTGAATGGAAGTTGTAGCAAGTTAATGAATCAAAACTTTCCAAAAATATAATTTGAAAATATAATTTGATCGTCATTCATTCAAAAATTTTCAATTGTAATACACTGATTATAAAATTATATTTGTAATCATGACGCCAGTGACCGATATCAGCATGACAATGAATAAAGAATCAACATACAATTGTCGAGAGAAGATGCTTGGTTGACTAAATTTATGTTTTTGGACAGTATAATTAGAGCTTGAATGTTGCATCAATTATGCACGTTACTGACTATATTTCACAGAAATACGGGAGATAAGTCCCCATTGAATATAATTCAAATGCCATTCTTTTATAAATGGTAACAAACTCAATTCAATATGAATAAAAATAAATGTTTTATTCGCTTTGTCACCAAACTAAATTTCTAGATATGACATGTACCGTATACATAAAATCAAACAAACCTGAAATGAGCACTGTGTATTTGTACGAGGATTAGCCTGGCTTCACAAAGTATTGTTCAGATGCATGCTAGTTAACATAATACACTGATTTAATAAATAAATATTCGTGGAGATAGTCAGTTCTATTTTTACATAAATATCCCTAAAACGTCATGACGCAGTTTTGCATACATATTAAGGAGGATAAAAATAAATGACAAAAATTCGTCCTAGTATATGAATGATACCACGGAACAAATGTACATGGCTTCTAAAAAAAATATCACAGTGGACCATATAAATCAAATAAAAAAACAAACACCATTGCTTCACCAAGATGCATAAACTGATTTTATAAATTTGTGGAGATAAAGACATCTATTTCCACACAAATACATAAATGGTTCATGTCATGTCTACACGATATGGTCACATGCGTATAAAAATAATTCGTTGCAGTATGTGGGTAGTATTACGAAAAAACTGTACATGGTTTTTAAAAATATTACAGAGACATCTCATTTACATAGCGTGGTTTCAGATTTTCAACTCATTTTCTAAGTCACTTACACAAATGTAGTTTCTGACTAATATATTGTTCTAAATAACTATGAGTGCAATAAATAACGTACTCACAGGTGAATCTGGGTGTAGAGAGTATTTTTTACTGTATTGGTCTGGTGATTTAGGTGACTGCCTTGTGATGGCTCTAAATAATCCCTGCATTTGATGTACCAGTAACATTTTTTTAAATGTTGGTGATCGAAATGATAAACTATAGAAAATGCCCGGATGTTTCTGACCTGTTCTATATAATAAAACAAATCACTCTTCTTCTATTTTACGTATTAAATTCAATTAAATACTTTTTCATGAGATGAATAGATGAAACCTCTGGTCATATATTATTAAATTATGATTTATTTGTAGGTTAAGATATTGATTACACTATATGAATAAGTGATGTAATTTCATTATTAAGTCAGGGAAATGTTTGACAGTATATGTCTCATACACCAAAAAAGCATCATGTCATGGTACAAATCAGCATTTTTGAATATATAATATAATATAAGACATATGATCTGATACAAACCATGTGTTTACTAATTTGGGTCATTAATATTTATATTATAATTTGGAGTTTTACAGAAAAAGTATAATAATCAATGCAGTTCATGGCTATTTTAGTTTTCGACATTTGTTATGCAAAAAACACAGTATTTTCACAATTAAAATCACTTTCGTTCCTATGAATGTTGGTGATGTGCTACGTCCCCTAATTTATTATTATCTATGATCACGGGCGTTGTTCTTCTTATAGATTGAGGAACTGTGTGTGTGTATTACTCACCCGGGATTTCTGGAACTATATTGTATTTTATTCCATCTACGTTTTAATTCCCGATTTAATCAACTATTGCCGTGTTTTTATGTTAGTTGTCTGTTCCGGGGGTCATTCTCTCTTCTTGTTTCACGGTGCAAACAGTTCAAGTGTTGGACATAGACGCTATGTATTTGTTCAGCTGTCATATTTATAACGCACATCATCAAAGTCTTGACTTCTAACTTCATTATCATCTTTCACATATTGTCAAAGACTTTAGTCTCCATCGGACGTATTTCGAAACTGGAGTTATGTTTGGTTTCCGTCTGTCTGTTTATGCTTGCGTGCGGCCATTTATTCGAACATGCCTTTATTCAGACTATACAATTCTATGTCCTCATACGTTAATTCTGCCAAATACTAACGGGGACTTTGTCATTGAGATACTCATCCTCATTTACCATTTAACTAATGTGTTCCATGAACACTGGTCACTATACATTATTATTGACACATACTAAGCTCACATAGCTTTACCGTGAAGTAATAGCGGACAATAGATGGCGCCGTTCACCAACATTGTAGAGAATTTAGATCATTCAAAATGTTAATTGATTACCAATTATAGACAAATATACTTGTTATGCAAACAATGCACAACAATGTTGCTATATGGATCATTATGTATATTTTGTAATATCCATTAATATATTATCTAGACTATTGTGACAAGTATGATTGGTTGGCAGGGGTAATGTTTACATATTCCGGGCACATTGTACCTCCACTAACACGCCAGTACTACATGACAATCTTTTAATACATTATGTCGCCTAGTAGTTGAAAAAAGTTACTTTGTATTGAAAAGATCGATACTTTCGTTTTGCTTCCTTTATTTGATATTGCATTCATTGCTTACGTTACAAAGCCTTGCATGACCTAAATACATTTTTAGAAACTCATAAAAACCTTCTTCCAAGTACCAGTGTCTGTTGTATGTTTTTCAGTTTATGGTATTATCGGCTTTTCCGAATTGCTCCTCAGAACATCTTGTCTGTGCGTGAACCTGAAAAAAATATATTCCCTGTTTAATATATATAATGTGATGCAAATACTGACCAATCATGTATATGTCAATACGATTATCATATGCTTTGTTTACTCTGTATGTCCTGAGACTGTTATTAAACCACCAAATAAAATTGATGCCACATGAGACATGATGTATTGAGTACGTACCATCACCGATGCTCATAGCATATTTGACTGAAATAATTATTATTCTATTATTGAATTGCTTCACAATACACCATTCGTATAATTTATGCCCTCTAGCAACAGCGCACCCTGTGACGTAATTATTCATAGCGCTTACAATATTGTGATCTGCGGTCGACTTTCACTGATAAATGTTTGTGGAAGATTTGACCGTACAGCCTAGCAGAGTTATTAAATAAAGGTCATAAGATATAGTCGGTAGAGGGCGCAACCGATTGAAATTGATAGTAATATATACAATTTAATGTAGCTGTAGTCCCACTCACCCTGTTAGCATCATGTTGATAACATCAATGGCTGCCAACACTATAAAAATGAATCCACTGAAGAACCCCAGTGTTACTGCATAAATAGCATTGAAAGTAACAGGCGCAACAAAGTTGGCAATACTTCCGGTGCATCCAAGGCAAGCAAATAGAATACCTGAAAATAGAAATAAATTGTGTTCTGACAATAACGAGTTGCGATACTGATCCACAACGAAGACAATAACATTGCTTTGCAAATATGTACAGCACAGTACTAGGAATATTTTATATAAATTCAAAAAGCTAAATTGTACAATCTTGCTTTTGCCCATGAATGATTTAATGCCTGTCACGTGAAATTAAAAACACCATTTGCAAAATATCTATTTATTTAACGATGGCGCAGATTTATGGGATGCTGTGTGTTGTCTTTCGGATGAGTGCATGATCGAATCCCATCTTTGCTAATATTGTCCAGTATTTGAGAAACAAAATATAAAAACTCGCAACCTAAATGTAGACGAGGCACAAAACCTATTTGTGTGAAGCGTTACGTATACAAGATTGTTGTGGTTTATTAATCGTAATATACCTAAAACGTTGTGCATTTACGGGAATGAGCGAATGATCTGATCGAGGTATCACATTGCGTCTACAAAGTGTTATTTTTGTTGTTGGATGGATAGCAAATTTTCACTTACAGACGTCATCATTGGTTTCCGTATTTCTCGAAATTGTTGTTTATCGCACTGTGTCCGTCACATCACTTTGCAATCAAATATGTATTTGTATGTAAGTTTAGTAATGCAGACATATAAGAACGTTCAAACAACTATTTAGACTTGGCCGAATCTGGCCGGTAATGTGAGGGCGCTTAGTACACTGATGGCAAGTCTGTTGGGATTTCGCGGTCACATGACTTTCGCGTTCACTCCACGTTTACGCAATTTATATTTATTTTTCAAGAATTTTCCATCGGAATCGCAACAGACTGCAAGCAAGTCTAACAACTTTTTTATAAATGGAATAATGCATCACTTGTAAGGAAAGTAATAATTCCGTTTGTTGAACTGGACCGCCTGATTGCACGAGTTCAGTATGCCACGTGAAAGGTTAACTAGTTAAGTGAACGGAATAAACTAATTGAGTTCGATAAGTGAGTTAACACGTACGAACATTGATGCAAAACTATTACATTTTTGAAGATAGGATTGTGTACGTATTGTTGTTTGATACACCACACCGGTTTGTATATTTTTAAAGCTTATTCAAAGTGTTTACCGTTTTGTATGAAATTGTTGCACAAACTTCGTATTTATATTAGCTAATTTAGTCTGTCTCTGATTGGAATCGATACTTTGAATAATTATTTCCGAGTAATTAAAAAAAATATCGCAGAATGCAGTATTCTTCTAAATTTACTCAGAAGTGTTGAGTTTGATAGTAAGCGTTTTTTTCACTTTCTTTTCAAACAAAGACACTATTTTATTGTAAATTTCAACTATAGTACATACGATGTAGGAGGCTCACATTCTTTTAAAACAAACAAAGACACTATTTTATTGTAGGAGGTTGAATGTGATCTTCAACGTGAAATGTAAGTCTCAACAACCAAGGTCACATTTTGATATAACTATAGCACTGCTATGGGATTCCCGTTTTCGTTCTCTAATTGTGCTATATTCTGAACGACTACGCCGCTCTACTCAAACGTTACCTTGTTCTGTAGAATCCACTATCCTGGAAAGTCTTGATCGTATAACAGGGATAGTCAATGACGACAAAGCAGCCACGACTGGAACTGTCAGGAAAATTTATGAAAATAAATATTAGCATTATTTGCACGAATGCATTGTTCTTATAAGGCGCGCCCTCTGGTGACGACTTATTTCCATGACGTAGAATGTGTACGGGATATTGTTCATATCATCGATATCATGTTGAACTTCGACCGCCCGTCAATACAAAATGTAGGACTTTACTTTCAGATCGGAATTCGGTGTTGTTGGGGTGATCAGTAGGTTATACAAGTCCAACCTACATAATGATTAGAGTAATATTATCGCAATAGTGAACGTTTTTCAAATCTGTATTATCTAGCTTTTTTTACACAAAAAATAAATAATAATAAAACTTCAAAATGTATTTTGATGGTCACAGACAATTGGAGAATCAGTTTCTGTATACCCTAGAACAACATTTAAACGTCACAAGAGTATGTGTTGGGAACACAGACTAATCAGCGCTTGTCACAGTACGATGATATATTATTTTATAACATAATATATAGATATATGTATATATAATTTTACGTGCTGATTCAAACATCTACAAACTTGAAAAAATATATCGCCCATGACCTCACTCCACAAATG